TTAATTAGATATATATTTATTTTTGTTTACTACATTAAACTTATATAAATAATAATCATTAATTATAAAATACAATATAATTTATATTAAATATAATTATATAATAAAAATTTATAAAATGCTAAATTTTAATTATTAATAATTTTTTATTAATATTATTTTAATTTTATAGAAAAAAGTAATTATATGTAATAATAAATATATTTGCCATAATGAAACACATCAATAGCCGCCGTCGCCCGCACTCCTTTCTTCCCGAAATCTCTGTTTTCTATTTTTTTTTTTTTATCTTCACTCACCCTTTCAACGTGTGATACATGCGAACCGTAAGACATTTCCCACCAGCACGTCTATACATATCCAGCAGAGTCCCATAATAAATTTTGTCATTGTCGATGTTCTTAAACAATACTTTTTGACCACTTACATATGGATGGCTTAGGTTTTCCACTTCAAAATTTCCACCCACTCACATGTAAATGTCAACCTTGCAGTCTTTGTCCATAGGTTGGCGAACAACAAAAACCTGCACGTGGGGCAACCAAGAATACATTTCAATAATCAACCCACCGACTTTCTAACATAAATAATCTAAACAAAGTGAAGCAGAGGTGGTCCACCCCACCCTGGAACACTATCCAACAACAACCAGACAAAAAACAATTGTTCAATTAACATAATCAATTAATTTCGTAATTGGACGCAACCAGTTACAGGGTTTTCGGGTCACCATCGAATATGTATAAAAAGCAAAACAAATGTACAAGGTGTACCCCCAATTCCACTTCTGTAAAAAATCGATGAACTTCTCAACCCGAAATTGTCCAAAACTATAGAAAAAAACTCAAAAGCCCTAACCGTAGAAAAAGAAAAACGCCGAAAAGCCCTAGCCCTAACACAAAAGTCATTTAAAATCGGTCGAACTCGGTGACTTACAAGAATTTGGGTTCGTTGCTACCCTTTTCTATGACAACACCTCCGTTGGATCGGTGTTCAAACCTGTAATCAATTTTCTCGTAGGTGGAAGAAAAACATCGAGTCGGGGATAGTGATGGGGGAGAGGTGTCGGTAGAGAGGGAAGTGATGGAGGAGTGTTAAGTGAGTTATTTAAAGGAAGGGTATAACGGTCCATTCGAAAAGAAATTTGACATCGTTAGGTCAAATTGATCAAATGAGAGAATGTGCGAGTTTTCTGAAAACACAATGGAGTACTACGCCGTTTTTAAAGTACAGGGGGAAATGACGCCGAGTTTCCAAACTACAGGGGGGATATAAGCAGTTTGCAAATAAAGAAAGATAAATAATGATGCAGATGATGTATTGCTTACAACCACTGAAAGATTGTACACAGGGACCCTACCAATGAAGAAGAAATGACAAGTAGATTTAGTGATGCAGTGCGATTGGTAGATCAGCCCATTATGATGGTTCTAATGAATAAGCACAACGATTCGTGGTTAGCGAGCTTATTCGTATAAAATCCAAAAATAATATGTCTGAGGCGGCATTTGATGATGTGTGTATTATGATGAGACGTGCCTTACTAGAAGGCAAGCAAGTGCCGTCAGGTTTCTATGCTTTAAAAAAATTGCTATCGAATATGAGAATGCCATCTCAAAAAATAGATTCTTGTCCAGTAGGATGTATGTTATATTGGAAGTCAGATGAAACGACCCAAATATGCAAGTTTTGCGGATTGTCAAGATGGAAAGAAAATAGTTGGCATAAAAAGGTTGCATCCGCTCAAATGGTGTACCTTCCATTGAAAAATAGATTGAAAATTTTGTTTGAGTTCAAACATACTGCTCAGGCAATGATGTGGCATGCAACACATCACACTGATGATGGAAAAATGAGCCACCCATCAGATTCAACTGCCAGGAAACATTTGAACACATGTTACCCAAACTTCACGCAAGATCCACGCAATGTGAGGCTTGGTTTATGCACGGATGGATTTGCCCCATTTGGAACATACGGTTGTAATTACTCATCTTGGCCAGTAATTTTGACACCCTACAATCTCCCTCCAGGAATGTGTATGCAGAAACAGTACATGTTTTTGACAGTTGTGATCCTTAGTCCGAATAATCCAAAAAGAAAGTTAGATGTGTACTTGCAACCTTTGGTAGACGAACTATTAGATCTATGGCACATCGGATATGTGGTCTATGATGCACATACAAATCATCAATTTTGTATGCATGCGGATTTAATATGGACCATAGGAGATCTTCCATCATATGCGATGGTATCGGGATGGAGTACTGCAGGCATCCTAGAATGCCCAATTTGTATGGATGATAATTCGGCATTTAGACAACAATATGGGAGAAAAATGTGCTACTTTAACTGTCATCGACAATTTTTACCACAATGTCATGCCTTTCGTCGAGATGATCAGAGTTTTATTAAGGGTAAAATGTTGAGGGTACTGTACGGGACTGTTTAAGTGGGGATTTGATATTGCAATGGATTTCAAGCATACCAAAGGTAGTTGATAACCCATTATCAGATGCACATAATGGGTATGGAGAATCACATAAATGGACGAAAAAAAGTATACTTTGAGATGTACCCTATTGGAAAGATTTGTTGTTGCGACACAATATAGATATAATGCACATTGAGAATAATCTGTTTGAAAAATTATCTACACGATCATGGATGCCCCAGGAAAAACAAAAGACAACATTAATGCTCGGAAAGACATGCATATGTTATGTGATCGACCTGAATTGTCCATTCCACCTAATCTTGATGGACCAAAACCGAAGGCAGTATACAGTATCACACGTCAAGATGCTAGGGTGCTCTGCAAATGGGCATCAGAAATAAAATTTTCAGATGATGTTGTATCCAACTTGAAAAGATGTGTCGATATTAGTGGAACGCAATTCACTAAAATGAAAAGTCATGATTCGTATGTATTCATGCAATGTTTGGTACCTGTTGTGTTTCGAGGTATACTACCAGACTACATATGGGAGGCACTTACTGAAGTAAGTGTATTATTTCAAATAATATGTTGTTGCACATTGTACATTCAACAATTAGAGCAAATGAAAATCAGAGCTCCTTTAGTTGTATGTAAACTAGAGAATATTTTCCCGTCTGGGTTTTTTGATAGTATGGAACATCTTCTAGTCCATCTCCCTGAAAAAGCAATACTTGCTGGACCAGTGCACTACAGATGGATGTATCCGTTTGAGAGGTATGATGTATGATTTTTAAATTAGTCTATATTTCAATAGAACCTTACTTGCGATGGATATTTGAATGCTAGATTCTTGAAGGACTTAAAGAACAAGGTTAAAAATAAAGCACATCTGGAACGTTCGATTGCAGCAGCGTATATTATGGAGGAGGTTGTATTTATCAACACAATATTTCAACGAGAAAAATATGGATGGTAGATTAAGACCTTCTACCCTCACAAATAGAAAGACGTTTTTAATTTTTATCTTTCCAGGACAAGCAGGTGGACGTGAAGCGACACCGTATATATCTGATTCAGAATATCGATCTGCTTCCATATATATCTTGACCAACACTACAAAGGCAGAGCCTTCTTTTCGGTAATTAATATAATATTTTCATTGTGGATTATATGATAAATTTTTATAATAATAAACGTATCTTTAAATTATCCAAGGAAATTAATGATTAATTTAAAACATGAATAAACTAACATGTTCTATTGTGACTGGGCTAAGGAGCACATAGGGACATCATCTATTTCCGTTGATCATATATTTTCGAAGGTTATGTGGATTGGTTTCGAGACTCAATAATGAATATGAACTTAGATGATGTGCTTCAACTCTTGCGTGCAATAGCATCAGGCATGAGTTACAAATTAAGAATGTTTAAGGAATATGTGATCAATGGATGGAAATTTAGTACCTTTGAACGAAGTGACGGGCGGGCGAGTCAGAAATATAGAGTTGCAGTGCAATCTAATAGAAAATACAGTACTTCAATAGAATACTTTGGAGTAATTGAAGAGATTTTGCAAGTTTCGTATGATCTGCATTATCATAGGAATGTGGTTTTGTTCTGTTGTCGATGGGTTGTCCCTAACCGAGGGACGCGACGCCATCATACATATGATTTGGTTGATGTGAACTTTCCGTATCTTCTTAGGACAAAAGAGCCCTACATATTGGCACAACAAGAAAAACAAGGTTTTTATGTTGAGTATGCTAAAAAAACTAGATCCAACTCCAGATGGATGACTGTTATGAAAACCAGGCCACATAACGTGGTAGATGTGACATGAGATGATTTGACATATCAGTCTGATCGAGTGAAAGGATCCACGGCGTGGATAGACTCTAATGCATCTCACAATTGATCTGATAGTGTTCAATCTAATGTAAATTTGGATTTACATGTAAGTTAATTGGAATCTTTGAAGGTGAAACTAATGACCGTCATATTTCTGACTGGGAAGAGATTGATGCACATGAACGACATAGTGATTGATTTTCTGATTTTGTTGAATAAGTAAGTTCTCTTGATTTGCGATTGTTCATATATGCTGCTGGAACCATTTATTTTCATCTCTGCAGATTAGATGCAATAGAACCTATGCCATGCCTCTACTTGTTTTTTGCTGACTTTTTTGTAACAAATAAGGTGAAAGCTTGGCTTAGGGTGATATTTGGTTTAACAAAGTTGAAGTAAAGGCTCCTGAGTGGATTCTGGAACATAAATAAAGGTTTTCAAGTTGCAACAAAAGCTTATTTTTTTAAGATATCAAGCTCTTGTATTTATTTTTGTCGATCAGTGTTGAATTGATTTGAAATATGGTTCATGCCTTGGAATTTTCTTGTTTGCCAAGGGTTGCAACAAGAGATGCAGAGAGTCAATTTTCTTGTTACTACAACTTTTGTGTTCTTTAATTCTTTAGTGCATATTCCTAGTTTTAGAGATGGGCAATTGATGCCACTAAAAGTTTATCCCTACATATGAGGTTATTAAGAACAAATAGAAGAATGAAAGCAAGGGGTGAAAGTAAGTCGTGGGTGACATATAAAAATGGTTAATACAAAATAGGCACTTAACTATTTCATTTATATGTCATTTTTGTTTAATATTCAGAGCTTGGCGCAAGGTGAGAATCAAGCTTACAAGTTTTTATTGTCGGGCTTTAACCAGTTAAGTAAGGATTTCATCATCGAATACGAAGCATGTTATATTGATATTTTATTATGTAGGTTGCGACTGGTCAAGTTGCTAGCATTGGTATGGGTTTCGCTAAGTTATGATCTTGGTTGATGTCTAGCACTGGTATGTATGGTTGCGTTGAGTTATTTGCATATTAATTTGAGAGATTAATAATTGGAAAAATAGCAGAATTTATATTGATACTAATATATACACGCCCAGAATTTTTACACTTAATTTTAGTCTTGTACCCCTGTCCTTTATATTATTTTTCTCCCTTTGGCACGCCACAATGGTCTCCCTCAAGATTGGTTGGACATTGATTTCTGCATTGCCGAGGATTTCAATTTTGTCGCTAGATCATTTGTCAAGTCTGGAGGTGTTATATCTACTATTTTGTTGGATGTTTGTTCACTGTAAAGTATATCTTTCTTCTATCTTCTAGCATAGCCGGTTCATTTTACACTTCAATGTGTTTTTCATGTATTGAGACTTTGGCTTTCTGTTTAGGGCTCAGTTTTGTTGTGACTTTAAATTGACTTGCAATATATGTATATGCATTTGTTGTTCATGAATACACTACAAGAAAAAATCATTTTTGTAACAAAACTTTTTTGTCTCTAAATCTACTTTTTCTGTTACTAATGACATCAGAGACGGAATTAGGAATGGAATTACGTTAGCTACGTGAACTTTAGGGACGTAATTCCATTACAAATATATTATTTTTTTGTAGTGATAGTTCTAAAAGAATGGTTGATAATGATATATGTTGTGTTTACTTGATGTTGTAATGTAGGTCGATGCAAGAAAAGCACCGGGCGAGTACCGGAATAATGTCGCGAAGGATAAGCCCGTGCCCCTTATTGGGAATCATCTCATTATCATGTCCACGGCAACTTCCACCACCACCACGCCTTGCCGGATAGTCTCAAATCTGAAAAAGGTTGCGGGACAAATTTTGAGCCGAGGCCTAATGTGTCTGTTTATGGCGAAGATGTCGAGCCTGAAAAGAAGGAGAAGTCGCAAGTTAAAGGTGACTTCGAGCCGAGGCCTAATGTGTCTGCGTATGGCGAAGATGTGGAGATTAAAAAGGAAGAGAAGTCGCAAGTGAAAGGCGACTTTGAGCCGAGGCCTAATGTCTCTGCATATAACGAAGATGTAAAACCTAAAAAGAAGGAAAAATCGTACGTGAAAGGTGACTTTGAGCCAGTCCTAATATATCGGCGTAACCGACGATGTGAAGCAACAAAAGGCTAAATTTGGCACGGAAGAGTTCGTGCCGAGGCCAAATGTATCTGTTTATGACAAGTAGGGAGGAACGTTGAGGTACAGATTGAAGAAATTGTGTAATAATATGATTGTGTCCATTCATGCATTATTGTCTCTGTCGTGTATTGTCATTTATATGAAGATGTGTTTGTGTTACATATCCAATAATTCTTAGTGAACTTGGAAATGGTTGCACTTTCAATTTGCATCATGGATCATGTATTTTTAATAAATCTGTACTTTGGAAGTTAGCCAGATGGGGATGTTATGTATTGTAAGATGATTTTGATTTGAACATATTTTCTTTACGAAACTTGTAGTTTTCAGTTAAATAAATAAACAAACGACAGACGTAGCATAAAAGGTTAAGCATCAACAATGAATCACTACCAAGTCTGGATTGTTTACACCATACTGTAATTTAAATATTTATCTCATGAATTTGGACCTCCTAACTTGCTTGTTTTCATAATAAATTTTTTCATGCACGAAATCAAATTGGTTTCCTAGATCATGCATTCGATATAATATTAGGTAAACAACATTGTCAAGAAATGTTGTACAAGGAATAACACACAATAATTTAAATCTCAAGTACATAAGAAGAGTCCAGAAGCAATAAATATAATCAAAATACATGAATTTAGCATATGATATATAAATTATTAAATACACAAAATAATGCAATCTTGGGGGATTAAATCAAATTAAAGCAGTGAGAAAGTCCATGCACAACTAATTCAACAAGGGCTAAATCAAACCATACAAATTTTATAGTGTACAAGAAAATAAATAAGACATGGGCAATAACATATATCACTTGGTTTTGCCTTCTGGAGCTTCTCATTCTCTTCTCTTCAGCATTCGCACCCGGTTGATCTTTGCTGATTGCTGCTTCCAACATCGATTGTGTCGGGCAAGTATCGTCAATAAATTTCCCAACAAAGCAATGAAGAAATAGATAAGTGATTAAGAAAATTCATGACTGGAATGTTCGGTGAAGTAAAATAATTCTGGCACCAGGATATGGTGGTATCTTATACTCGATGCATTGCAGTTTTCAAGAACTTTGGTATCCACACAGCATGTTATTGTTTAACCTTAGTCTATACTAATAATGTATTATGACAGGTTTTATTTACTTCCATCTCTTCTTCTCTGCTCTTTAACGCCTTCTTTGCAATGACCTGGAAAGCCTCTTCCACATTGGTGCCTTCTTTGGCAGAATTCTCAAAGTAGGGAATGTTCCCCTTTGAGGCGCAACAGGCTCGAGCTTTTTTCTTAGACACCTGTACACAAGGCAATGCCATCAAACAGATTACTCGGTATGTATATATTTATATCTAAATTATTATGTCATACAGAACATGTTATTCAACAAATTCAGGAGAGGGGAAAAGAAGAATATGAATGATTACCACTCTGCTATTTCCACCATCCACATCAATCTTGTTGCCAATCACAACAAATGGGAAATTTTCAGGATCAGATTGGCTTGCCTGCAGAGAAGCTTCTCTTTTAGCATGTTCTTTCTATAATAGATAGATTTATCTTCTCTTAAAAAAAAACAAAAAAGAAAAAGAAAATAGTAACCCATAGAACTAACATTAGGGGCCACTAAAAGCAATCAGCAATTTTAAAGTCGATCTAACATATTGAGCCGTAATGACAAAAGAATGCCCTTGGAGGACTAGGATTAATGCTAATGTACGTGGTGAATGAAATTGAAAGATTAACATCTAAAAGTATTTTGGGCTCACATATGTGTATCTAATAACATGTTTTTTCTCTCATAAGCAAAAAAGTGGAGATTGGATCAGTATTCTATGTTTAAATGGAAATCACTTCAATTAAAACTCTGGACTATATGTAGATTTTATGACACACTGAGAACATAGGTGGTGTCTTTGGGGCCGGATGATAATTCTAAAAAAAGGCAATAATAAGGGCTACCATCCGAATAAGATAAGGAATAGAACAAATACCTGAATTAAGATTTCCTCCCTCGAGTTGTTAAGGTTGTCAAATGCTTTCATCACATTGACATCGTAGACAATCACACAACAATCAGCACCGCCGTAAAAAGCAACCCCAAGGCTTTGAAATCTCTCATTGCCCAGCTGTATCCCATATCTTAATTGCACAAAAACTCAATATCAAGGTATAAAACACCAAAACAACATAAAACTCTATAGTTCAGCTACATTGTAACTTTCTGTCAATTGTCTCAGGTTTTGGAAAAAGAGCAATAGGTCCAGACGAATATACCGATCCAATTTTAGAATTGCTAATAACATGAATAATATCTAGACTAATCTGTAAAGTGAAAACCCTGTCCTCAAATTGAACTTCCTTGGCTAGGAAATCTGCCCCTATTATGGATTTGTATTGGTTGCTAAACCTCTTATTTACATACCTTTAAATAACATGTCAATGAAAATAATAGTAACAATGAAACCAAATTGAATCACCAGACTAATAGATTCTGTAAATGCAATAGGAGTTATTTTAACTAAGTAATGAGTGTTTTAAGGATACTGGTTCATCGATGAGGTCTTCCTCACCTTGCAATTATACACACACAAATAAATAAATAAATATAACCAATCACAACAACATAAACATAAAATTGCAGTCATGTTAACAAAAAAAAAAAAAAACATAAAATTACAGTCAGAATGTAATCATTATTCATTACATCTAATTAAAATTAATATAATTTGAATATATAATTTACATTTCAGATAAAGTCAAATAAAAATATATTTATTTTGAATAGCATCATTTTAGGAACAATAAAAATTGTGTATAAAATTTTAATTAAATATATTTATTAATAAATAAACTTAAATTCAAATATAATTAAATTGCACAGAAAAATCTGAATAAAAAATATAGTGGGATTTTTGCCAAGCATTTAATTTCACCTTCACTCCACTCTCCCATTTACTTTTATCCACAATCACATTAGTCACCATTTATTTTACACAATCATGGATTAAACATATTTAAATTTTGATTATTTTTTAATATCTTATATAATTAAACTAACTTTAAATTGTGGCCCTTTTTTTTTTAATTATAAATACTCTTACTAAACCTACTGTCAGAAAATTAGAATACACCATCGCTATTGAGAGCCAGGATTTGGCAACGTCATCCTTCCAAGCGTTCCAAGATCTGGCAACATCTTCATATGGTTTCAAAGTTTCGCAACAACATCCTCCCAAGGGTTCCAGGTTTGGCAACACCATATTCCCACAGTTCCAATCTACTGTTTGCTTGAAAAAGAAAATCTGAAGAACAAATTTAATTTTTAGCAATGGCTAGAGGTTTGTTTAAATTTCGCTATTCGCTTCCGCTAAAATATTTGATTAGATGTTTATTTTCTAACATTTGGTATCAGAGCAATTTTTGTCTCTGTGTTGCTTTGAATTTTTTCCTCAATCAAGCTTTAATTTTTTATTTGAAAATATTTTGATTTTCAACAATTGTTTTGCCAAAATTTTCTTGATCGAAATATGATTCTACGGTGTTTTAAAGAAAATTTTATTTTGAGAAAATTGAGTTTTGTAAAAAAAAAAATAAATTAATTATGCAAATATTCTAATTTCTGAAATTATTTCTCTGCTCATGTTGACGTTGACGGCGAGTGCTATGGGTTCATGAATTTATAATTATTACGATTCTTGTATGTGAACGAGAATTCAATTATTATTATTGAATGCGATTACTTTTGCGTATGGAGTTAATTGAGAAGGTGGATCACATTCTTGCTGCTGTGTATACTTTATTTTTATTTATTTATTATTATTATTATCATCATCATCATCATGAGACGTGCAGTAGTATTGTTGCTATTATTATTATTATTATTATTATTATATTTAATATTACTATGATGATGAGGCATGCGAAATTATTATTATTATTATTATTATTTTTACGAATAATTAGAATTGTAGATTTATTTTGATGTACTTAATAATCCAATTAATTTTGGGATACAACATGTATTTTCAACAATATGTATTTGTTCAAATTCGACTATAGATATTCATTACATTAAATTTATAATCTCTTTGGGTGGCATATTTTTGCTTGTGTGATTCCGCTGCATTTAGTATTTTTTTTTGGACTATTTGATTATTTCGATGAGTCCATAAATTAATTATTGTTGTTATAGCTTTTATATGTATTGGACATACATAGTTTATTTTAACGTGAATTTAATTAGCAATAAAGAGTATAATATATTTTATGAATTGGTTGAAACTGTAATGTTGCCAAAGCAGCCCTGTTGTGTAAATCGGTTTATTTTATATGTTAGAAGGTTGTGTATGTAGTTTATAACGCTGCTGATTGACCCAAAGGCAAGTAAGCGATTAAGTAGTTACATGCATGTTTAATGACATTGAATTGGTGATTATAATTTGATTACTTGTGTGTAAACAATAGATTTGTCCAAAGATGGAGTATTGTTCGACATACTACTTTATTTTCTACTTTCGATTGTCAAAACAAATTTATCACTGGCGAGTCAGTAATTTGTCCAAAGACAATTGTTGATGTTGCTCAATAACTTGTAATAAGATTGCTAATTTATTTATAAATTCACATACGGAACAGTCAATAGCTTATAGACATGTGTACTTCAGATTGCATATTCATAATATTTGTGATTTATTTTAAATTTTATTTATTTGGGGAATAGCCACAACATCCTCGATTAATTAAATATTTGTTCATGATTTATTTGAAATCACATTAATAGACATCGATTGTAATTATCATGTACAATGTGATGAGATCTACCTACAGGAGTCTTGTTATATTTATATGAGTAATTTGGATAAGATATCAAATTGTATTTCTTAATCTACCCACAAGAGTTAAGAAAAGGAACACAATTTGATAGTTTTATTGTTAGGTTTTGTTTGAATCTAATTGAGTAAAACTTTAGCCCACATGCAAGTCTTATGTCTTTA